AACATATATAAATTAAATAGTTCAACAAATTTATTTGTTTCAAACATCAGAAATTTGTTTTTTTAATTTTTAGTTATAGTACCATAATTTACAGGAAACTGTAAATTTAATTTCGTCGATGACACTAGATGGAAATTTAAAAAAAAAGTTTATTTTTGGCTTTATTCTAAAACAATAAGAAATAGACCTGTCGAACCCCATATTTTTGTAATCAGAAAAAAATAACGAATTTAATAAGCGAATAATCAGTGGTTGTTTCCATTTAAAAAAACGAAAATTGTGATGATATCTCAAAATCTAAAACCGAAAAAATTTTTTTGACTACGTCATCCAATTCTCTATAAAAAAGTGTCCATATAATGTCTTAGTTATAATACTCCACCTATAATAATAACGAAGATAATTGCACTTGCTGGTTTTACGATATTTCCAATTTTGGCCTCTAGGGGAAAAACAAAAGACGATAGCGCTATGAGGTTTTCGGCATTAGCAGTTTCTCGAAAAACGAGATCATGACATGCTACTTTTTGTCTAACTTTTATAGTTTCCGAGTTAGCCTATTCGGACATCGAATTTGAACCACCCTGTACACCTCCCAAAATAAGAGAAATTGCTTGTGGACCTTGTATTCGATGCTAAGAACGTATTTAAACATCCATAGACAAACATTGTCACATTGACAACTAGAAAAATTAATGACCCAATGTCACCAACATGAACTAGTTCCATAAAATGTTACTAAAATCTCATTACAGCATCGGATGCTGTAAGCAGTCTCATTACAGCACCCGTTTGAGTACTGTTATAGCTTTCATTACCGTCGCGAATTACAAAAAATTATTTCTAAATTTGTTTGTATTAATAAATAATTTTTTAATTTAGGCTCTCCGTAGCAAGAGGGCCGTTGAACTCCAATACGAAGAATCAATTTCACGCATTAACGAACTCACAACGATTAACGTTAACTTGGCTTCCGTCAAGAGTAAGATTGAACAAGAATTATCGGCCATTGCTGCCGATTACGACGAAGTCACCAAAGAACTTAGGATTTCCGATGAACGCTACCAACGCGTACAAGTTGAGATCAAGCACACCACTGAACTTCTCCACGAAGAACAAGAACGTGTCGTTAAGATCGAAGCCATCAGGAAAGCTCTGGAAATTGAAGTCAAGAATTTGTCGGTCAGATTAGAAGAAGTCGAAGCTAACGCTATCGTTGGCGGAAAACGCATCATCGGCAAATTGGAAGCTCGCATCCACGACATGGAATTGGAATTAGACGAGGAGAAGAGACGTCACGCTGAAACTATTAAGATCTTGCGTAAGAAGGAACGTAGCGTGAAGGAATTCATGATTCAATGTGAGGAGGACCAGAAGAATATTCAAATTTTGCAGGAATCTTTGGAGAAGACCAACCAGAAAGTTGTTTTGTTCAAGAGACAACTTCAAGAACAGGTATGTTAATTTAAATTTTTTTTAATAAGATTTTTTTTGTATTAAATATGTTTAATTAATAGGAGGGAGTTTCGCAACAAAGTGTAACTAGAGTCCGTCGCTTCCAACGCGAATTGGAGGCCGCTGAAGATCGTGCCGACACCGCCGAAAGTAGCTTGTCTCTCATCCGCGCCAAGCACCGCACCTTCGTAACCACAAGCACAGTTCCCGGTTCTCAGGTGTACCTTGTCCAGGACACCCGAACAGCTGAATACTAAACTGCCGCTAGAATCCAGAATTTAATTATTTTTTATTTTATTTTCTTGCACGTGTATATTAATTAATTATTTACAATTTACTGTTATCTCAAGTGTATAATTATTACTACCGTATTACAATATTGTTAACTGTTATAAACCACTCCCTTTCGACCTCTTCAAACCTCTCTTCAAACCCAGCAAGCTCTACAAACCTTTTTAGTTTCATGCCCGAGTAACACCGTTGATTTTCGTTACTATTATTATTATGACCTTTTCTTTCCTCCATCATTCGCCCAACGTAGGACAAAGTCCGACGCCCCCCACGTTGGTTTGTCAAAATCGACACGTTCTTTTCCGTCTCTTAACATCATTATCCCAATTGACACTTCAATGAACGTGGTGAACAAAAATCAACATGGATGTAACAATGTTACGCTATGAGACGACGCAACGAGATTCTAGGTTTCTGTTATGTACATTAACTATTATGAAATGAAGGCAAGGTACTTGTGTAAAATGTAAGTTTGAATGTAATGTATAAGAAATAAATAAACTGCTTGTATACAATGTTTTTGTATTGTTACAACGAAAAAGTATTTTGTAACGATTAACAACAAAAAATGAATATCATAGCCCCATAGAGCCAAAGAAGAATAATGTAAATTCAATGAAAAAAGAGAAGAATTCTATGACTACGAAAATACATACAAGTACA